AATAATTTTTTTTTGTTTTTGTTTCTGTTTTTTTGAGACGGAGTTCCGCTCTTGTGACCCAGGCTGGATTGCAATGACGCGATCTCAGCTCACCGCAACCTCCGCCTCCTGGGTTCAGGCAATTCTCCTGCCTCAGCCTCCTGAGTAGCTGGGATTACAGGCACGTGCCACCACGCCCAGCTAATTTTTTGTATTTTTAGTAGACACGGAGTTTCACCATGTTGACCAGGATGGTTTCGATCTCTTGACCTCGTGATCCACCCGCCTCGGCCTCCCAAAGTTCTGGGATTACAGGCTTGAGCCACAGCGCCCGGCCTAAATAAATAATTTTTTAAAAATAAAATTAAAATTAAAAAAAAAAAAAGAAGCAGAAGGAGTTAAAGGAAAAGAGCCGGGGGGCTGGGAGGGTTTGGGAGAGACTTGTCCCTGAGACGGCTCTTCTTTACTTAGAAGGAGAAAGATTTAAAGGAAGAGAGAGGGAGAGACTGCTTCCCTGATCTGAAGGTGGTGAGAAGGTTGTCGGGCTGGTCTGAGGTGCTGAGGTCACAGGTGGGTTTCTTCACAGAGTAAGAGCAGGGCCAGGAGTTGGTCTCCCACAGGAGTATCCCTGTCCCAGGTTTCAACACCAGATGGTAGGCGTGCTATGAATGACAAGACCACCAAAACAGGCTTTGTGTGAGCAACAAGGCTGTTTATTCACTCGGGTACAAGTGCGCTGAGTCTGAAAAGAGAGTCAGCGGAGGGCGGTGGGATAAGAGTTGCTTTCAGAGGTTGGGGTAGGCAGTGGGAAGTTACAATTCAGCGCGCTTTTTCAAGCTGCCAGCCGCGGGGAGGGGCACCGGGTTCGATGGGGGGAGAGGGTAGTGTCACAAGGTCTAGTGTCACAAGGTTGGGTTATCATTTAAGGCACGAATGGTTGAGGCAAGAACAATGGGAAAATGGAAGATCAGTTAATCGGGTACTGCAGGAACCAGCCCTGCATCTTCTTCTGTGGTTTTCCCTTTCCTTCAGACTTTCTGGCTCCAGGAGGCCTTCTGGAGTTGTACGTGTGGGTCACAGGGGTCACCACGCTGTAGTCCATGGTGCAGCCAATTCAAAGAATCTTGCAGGGAGGATTCTATATGGTGTCAGTAAGCGGAGAGGGCTGTAGAGTATAAGTAGCAAGGCCTGCACTGGAGACCGAGGTGTGGAATGCAGTAGATTTGCTACCCGAAAGTCTCACCACGCTGTCACGGGCACTGCCTGTGGAGCAGTCCCATCCCCAGCCAGTGCGGGTAAGCAGAAAGGATGAACATCTCTAATGAAGGATCATGCAGCTCCCTTTCAGAGGAATATGTATCAAGTAGGCTGGTTCAGTGCAAAGGCTAGCGTACACCTTGCAAGTACACAGAAGTAGGGAACTAGAAAATCTGTATATATTATAAGTTAAACTTACACCAGCACTTAATGATTGCTCAAAGTATTAATTTGCCTAAAGTATTTTATTGCAATGGCAAATCTTCCCAAATTTTCTGAAAAGTATTTAAAGCAAGCAAAACAAACCTAATTTTTCAAAAACGTATCAGTTTATTTGCATGGATAGTAGTAGCTGTTTCAGAGGCACTTGACATGTACAGACAAGCCTGATAGAAACAACAGCCCTGGCCGGGCGCGGTGGCTCAAGCCTGTAATCCCAACACTTTGGGAGGCCGAGGCGGGTGGATCACGAGGTCGAGAGATCGAGACCATCCTGGTCAACATGGTGAAACCCCGTCTCTACTAAAAATACAAAAAATTAGCTGGGCATGGTGGCGCTTGCCTGTAATCCCAGCTACTCAGGAGGCTGAGGCAGGAGAATTGCTTGAACCCAGGAGGCGGAGGTTGCGGTGAGCCGAGATCGCGCCATTGCACTCCAGCCTGGGTAACAAGAGCGTAACTCTGTCTCAAAAAATTAAAAAGGAAAAAAAAAAGAAAAAAGAAACAACAGCCCTATGAGGTGGGTGCCATTATTCTTCCCACTTGTAACATGAGGACACTGAAACACCACTCTGTTTACGTCCACACAGCTAGTAGGAGCCGGCACTGAGGTCTGAGTATCTGAAGTTAGAGAGGTAACCCGAAATCATCCCTGCCAAAGGGCAGGGTTGGCAGGGGTTAGGGAAACAGTTCAGTCCATGAGATCCCACTGTGGGAACCTGCCACTCCCAGCTTCCCTCTTCTTGTGAGGTTGCCATGGTGGCAGAAGCTTGTGATTCCTACCTAGGTGAGTCCAGATTGTCTCAGACCCTCACTTACCCCAACACACCCCATTATCTCAGCAACTCAGTATAGAGAATTAAGAGTGTTCTGAGACTCTTCAGTGTCCCTTCTACCTACCGTTTGGGGAGGTCCTGCAGTCACCCAAAGCTCTGTGTTGTAAATTCTGTTTTGGAATTATGTGGAAGGGTTTCCATTTCTGGCAAGCAGTGGGATGGAGTATGGAGCATCATCTCAGGCACAGGAACCAGCATGTGCAAATACTTCACTTGAGGCTAAACTAGGAGTGTTTGGGGAACCTCAGGTCTCCATTATGTCTGGTGTGATCAGACAGCAGGAACAGGATTCAGCCCAGGAACCGTAGGCAGCCTGAGGATCTGGGTTTCTCTGCTGAGAGAGGTAGGAGCCACTGCAGGTTTGGAGCTAGGAGGGAATGATCTGACTTCAGGTCTTAACTAGCTTTGTCTTCACTGTCGAGTGAAGAAAAGACTGTGGGAGTGAGGATGAGGGAAGGAATACCACTGAGGAGCTTCATGTAACAGTTTAGGTTGGACCAGAGTGGTGGCTGTAGAAGTGGAGATGTGGATGGATTCTGAATCATTCTCCTTAAAGAAGGACCAACCAGGCTGGGTGTGGTGGCTCACGCCTGTAATCCTAGCACTTTGGGAGGCCGAGGTGGGTGGATCACCTGAGGTCAGGAGTTTGAGACCAGCCTGGCCAACATAATGAAACCTCATATCTATTTAAAAAAAAAAAAAAAAAAGGAGAGATCAACCAGATTTTGGAGGATGAGATAGGAAAGGGAAGGGGTGAAGGATGACCCTGCTTTTTTTTTAATTCTGAGAAGATACAAGGATGCCATCAACTGAGGGGACAAAGTTGGTGATAGGAGTACCTTTCAGAGGTTATATCACGACTGTAGTTTGGCTATGTGGAATCTGCCATGTTCCAAAGACACTTGAGTAGAGGTGTCAAGTAGACAGCTGGGCACAGAGATCTGAAGTTCAGAGAAGGGATTCAGGTTGGAGCTATCCACAGGGTGGCAGCTGGCATGTGGATCAGGATGGAGTTTTGCTTCCAGTTTAGAGGGAGAATCTTTAGATCATGGTGGCAGTGCCATCAGAGAGCACAATGTAAGGGCAGGCACAGCAGGGTGGGGGTAGGGGCCATCTTAGAGGCTAGAAGAGGGAGGGAAGTGTCCTTGGGAGGAAGGGGAATAATGAGGTCAGGCAGGTGGCAAAGTGTTTCTGGGAGAGAGTGGATGTGAGGTGAAGTACTGTAGTAATAGAAGTGAAGTGGCAGTGAGGCCAGAGCCAGTGTTTATTCAGCTCTTTATGTGTCTTCAGGCTTCCGTGGTGGCCCCTGTGGAATTTCAAGCTAGTGAATTAGCCCACGGACAGATTGGGTCTGTAGGCAGAATCACTGTGCTTGGGGTAGGTGCCCAGCGGGTGTGCGATTTGAATGAGTTAAATGTTGAGATGAAGCCTGTGGCTGAACTCAGTAGTACAGCAGCAAAGGAGAACAATGCTGAGTTTATCTGAGATCTGCATGTGGTTTTCCACTGCTGAATTGACCCATGAAATAGAGCCAGGAGGGGAGAGTTTAATAGCTGGATTCAGTGAAACCATGGCAGTGGGGCCATTGACCAGGAACAGATATGGTCCGGCATGCCTCATCGAAGCATTTTCTGGATGCTGTATGTAGATTTGAATGTTGGGAAGCCAGGGTGGTACCTACGTAGTGGGTGTCCATAGATGTAAAGGAGGTATGGCTAGAAGGGTGATGTGCACCTGTAGATGGAGTGTGAATTCATGGGCCCAAAGCTTTGCTACTGAGGGTTTCTGAGACAATGCTGAGCTCAGGTTCTGTATGAGGCATCATCGGTTGATCCTAGGGGAGCTGGCTGATAGGAGAAGCCAGGCCATGGTGTTTAATCTGTCCACTTGCCTGTTAGGGGCTGGACAAAATGAATAATGGAATACGAGGAGAGAAGAGGCATCAGTCAAACTAGGGCCGGTTATCTCATTACAGTTAGATGCGACAAGGAATCCTGGAGAGAGAGGCTGACCTTAGGCTGAGTTGTCCACCACTTCACACGGGACTATGTGATCTCTGAAGACTTATTTGTGTGCTTCTCTTAGGAGGAATGGGAGCTGCTCGATGAGGCTCAGAGACTCTTCTGTGATGAAATAATGGTTTCCGTGCTTTGCATTTATACTCTCCCTAGGTAGGGCCTCAGTGTCCCATTTTTGTGGGCTGGGCTCTGCTCTTCCTTTCTGCCCTAGGGATTGCTCTTGACTTTCCATGGCTAGAGCATGGGCACTGCTGTCTTTCCTGATTCCCTCACATAGGTCCCCTGGTGTCAAGGCTCAGCAAGATGCATTGTCTCCTCTGTTCCCTGTGTTCCTCAGCTCCTGCTGCCCTGAAGCCTTGCCAGGAATGGTTTAGGGGTCAGGGGTCCTAAGGTAAACCACTGAATCCTGCTTGGCCTCTCCCTGGCCAAGTGACTGTCCACACTCATGACACCTCCAGACTCCACCCCCTTCCTCTGATTGCATTTTCCTTGAGTCGGCCTGTGTCATCAGTTTCAGTCATCATGGTCACCACTTATGGGCCCACTAGACTGTTCCTGCTGCAGGACAGTTTTCTGGGGTTCATTTTGTAGTTTGTTTTCTTGTGATTTTGCATGGGTGGGCTACTCTGAGCTAGTGCTTTCTCACTCAGCCTGTTTCATCTTTCGCCTGTCTATGCTTTGTATCTTCCAGATCCTCTGTGGTTGCTGAACTGTAGCAAGAGAGAGAACTCCAGGTGCCTAACTGAAGAGGGCATGACTCTAGTCACAGCAGGAGGGGCTTGGGCAGGCCCTGGTAAGTGGGAGCTGAGGCTGAGAGAGGGCATGACCTCAGGGCTGGGTTCCTATAGTTCCAGAAACCTATGTTGTGCCCATCACTGGTGCCAAGGCCAGAGGTCCTAACTTATTTCTACCTTTTTTTCCCCGTTGTGTACACTCTTGTCATTTCTAATCTGACTTCTCACCCAGGGCTGTTCTCTCCCACTCTGTACCAGAGGGGCTCTAGTAGAGCAACAGGACTCTCTTCAGTGCTGTCCAGTATTGGACTACACTTAAACACTAATGTGTCGTAAGATGCGTACATATCCTGAAACAGTCCCTGAACACATCACTCACTTGTAATCACATGTTCATGGGCCTGGACACACATTTCTGCATAGCAGTCTCCTGTCACCCACAGTCAGCCAAGGTCCAGCCAAAAGTCATTGCAGAGGATTAAGTTGGAGACCTTGCACTTCTCCCTGCACTACACCCCATCCTTGTGTCTTTGTTTCTTGGGAGGCCATCTCCATTCCGGGTGACCTTAGATTCCAGTACTATATAGCAGCCCTTTCTTCACCCCGATCCTAGCTCTGTCCCACCAGGAAACTTAGGTGCTCAGTCCTGGGTACACCAGACACTCATTTGTGATGGAGTTGCCCCACTCACCATAGTCACCATGTACATCAATAGTACTTTTCTGCCTTCAGGTTGTTGGCATGGAGTGAAGGATGAAGAGGCATCTTCTGAACAGAGCCATACTAATATGTCACATATTAGTACTTCTAAGGCAGGTTCACCCACTCAGACGGCTCACTTTTGTGACATATGTTACCCTATCTTGAAAGATATTTTGCACCTGGATGAACACCAGGGTACACACCATGGACTTCACACATGTGAGGCTTGTGGGAGACAATTTGGGTTCAGTGCAAACCTTCTCCAGAACCAGAAGCATTACAGTATAGAGAAACCCTTAAGAAGGGATGAAGGTGAGGCCTCGTTTGTGAAGAACTGCAAAGTTAGCAAAGAACCTCACCCATCAGAAAAGCCCTTTGCCTGTAAGGAGGAGCAGAAAAACTTCCAGGCTACTTTGGGTGCTTGCCAACAAAAGGCCATCTACCACAGCAAGAGGAAGACACATAGGAGCACTGAGAATAAGGATGCATTTCATGGTGAACAAATGCATTACAAGTGCAGTGAATGTGGGAAGGCTTTCCGCCACAAAGACACACTGGTCCAACACCAGAGAATCCATAGTGGAGAGAAGCCTTATGAATGCAATGAATGTGGAAAAGCCTTCTGCCAGAAAGCTACACTTGTCCAGCACCAGACAATCCATACTGGAGAAAGACCTTATGAGTGCAGTGAATGTGGAAAAACCTTCAGCCACAAAGCTACACTTGTCCAGCACCAGACAATCCATACTGGAGAAAGGCCTTATGAGTGCAGCGAATGTGGAAAAACCTTCAGCCTCAAAGCTACACTTGTCCAGCACCAGAGAATCCATACTGGAGAAAGGCCTTATGAGTGCAGTGAATGTGGAAAAACCTTCAGCCGCAAAAGTACACTTGTCCAGCACCAGAGAATCCATACTGGAGAAAGGCCTTATGAGTGCAGTGAATGTGGAAAAACCTTCAGCCACAAAGCTACACTTGTCCAGCACCAGACAATCCATACTAGAGAAAGGCCTTATGAGTGCTGCGAATGTGGAAAAGCCTTCAGTCATAAACACAGCCTTACTGTGCACAAGAGAATCCACACTGGAGAAAGGCCTTATAAGTGCAATGAATGTGGGAAATATTTTAACAATCACTCCAATCTAATTGCACACCAGAGAGTTCACAGTGGAGCAAGGCCTTATAAGTGCAGTGATTGTGGGAAAGCCTTTAGACACCAGTCTACACTTATTCACCATGAGAGTATTCACACTGAGTCAAAGCCTTTTGAGTGCATTGAATGTGGGAAATTCTTTAGGCGAAGGTTCGATTTTATTGCACACCAGAGGGTTCACACTGGTGAAAGGCCTTTTGTATGCACTAAATGTGGGAAAGACTTTATGAGAAACTCCCACCTTGTTCGGCACCAAAGACTTCACACTGGAGAAAGGCAGTGAATGTGGGAAGGCCTACCACCTAAGCCTTCACCTCAGTCGGCACCAGAAAGTTCACACTGCAGGCAGGCTCTAGGACTGCTTTGAATACAACAGAACTCATCAGTCAGATGTTGAACTTCATATATCTGAACATTGACTCAAGGGAGATAGCTTATGGTGCCAGGTATGTAGGAAACTTCTAGGGATATGTTGCACTTTCTGACCTGGTCAGGTTTTTTGCTGGAGTTACGTCACTGTCAGTGCCTGTGGCCAAAACCATCTTAACTCTACCAGCTCACATACCCCAGCATCAGGGAAGACAGGGTTTTATATTTTCCGGTCCCTGGAGAAAATCATGAAATGCCTGAGTTCATTGGGGGTCCTCATTCCCTTCTGTGTGACAGGTATAGATATGGACATGACCCATCTTTAGCCAGGAAGGTCCGAGCTGTATCTGTTGGTGCCTTATACAAAAGGTTTGCTTTCTTCATGGATAGTCTTGGTCTCACATACTTGTAATGAATATTTCCAGCCTCCAAGTCACCTGGCCTGGGAAAGTACTTGCCTCATGTTGCTCTGCTTGTGATAATAAAGGCCTTACAGTTTAAGCCACCTTTAATCTTGGACGTTCTTTTCACTGGATTGGATTGAGAACAGGCCCTGCCAAACTGAAGACCGCCTTTGTGGGGGCCTCCAACTTTGTGCCTCAAATGGGACAGTGGGTTGACGGAGAACAGTTCTTAGTCCAGTTTTCGACTGGACTAAGTTAACTTGCATAGATGACAAAGCTTGTTAAGTTACAATTCAGATCTTTGTAGGCCTGATTTGTCCGGATTTTAGAGTTATTTTGAGAGCCCATATGTCACGTTGAGGAGGGTGCTGCTGCTGTGACAGCCTGTAGTGTTTTGAAACTGCATGGATTGGGCATCTTGTTTCTAGCGTATGTCCCATGTTCCCCAACACTGTTGAGGTAAACCTATTCCTCAGGACCTGCTGAGTGGCCATGTTTTCTGAAAACCGGAATCTGGTACACAGGCCACTTGGTAAGATCTAAAGCATCCAGTATGGAAACAAAATTGATAAATATTAGGTGTGAATGATTGGGCTTCGGAAGATCGAGGCAAACTAGAGGGCAAGTGTCCATTATAAAAACACCACAGACAGCCCAGGCACTATGGCTGAATGGGATCAGTGTATCCAGAAATCTCAGGATCTCCAGTACTGTGTTACTGTTACGGACAAGGTCCCTGGAGCAGCAATGAATGTAGTTTTCCTAGATTCCTGTACCTCCCTGGGCTCTATACCTAATGTCTTTGCTACTTTAGTGTCTTTGCTGTACATTCACTAACCCTGGGAGTAAAGAGGTGCGATGGGCCCAAGAAGTACCTTTTGTGACCAGCTAGAGTTTCTGGTGACTCTGAGTAATACCTGGGGGGACAACTAAAGAAAACATTTAGAAAGCACTATCGGAATGTGGAGGTGAACAGGGATGCTGTAGTATTCATGCTTATTCATAGTTGTAACAAATGTTCAGTAAATACCTGCTGTATTTCAGGCACTGTCTTTACTGCAGGAGACATTTGCAAAACAAGAGACAGACCCCAGTAGCTTACATTTTACTGAAGAAAGAGGAGGAAATACGGAAAAAAAAAAAAATTCTGAATTATATGGAGTCTTAGATTGTGGCAGGCATAATGGAGAAAAGAGAAGGTGAAGGCATTGAGACGTGCTGGAGTGATATGTGATTTTACACAGCCAAGAAAGGCCAATTTGTGGATGGATCTTTATTGGAAAAGGACATGGAGAGCTCAATGCCACTGAAATAAAAGTTCAGCGTTTCAGAAAATTTCCCTAGAAATCTGAAGCACAGTGTGCCATGCAGGGCCCCAGGAGGAACAGGTTTTAGTGTGAAGGAAGAGGCAAGAGCTAGGGGAAAGCCTAGACCAGATCCTTTGTTGTGTTTTCCATGGGAAAGGCAAGGCAGATCAGAGCCGACGTCTGAGTACTGGCTAGTCTGAATAATTGTGGTTGGCTTTGATTTACAGGAGTAGTCTCTACTTGCCTCCCACCTCGTCCTGGTGTTACAGTAGGTGGTTGGAGATCACGCCATTACACTCCAGCCTGGACAACAGAAGCAAATCTCTGTCTCAAAGAATAAGTGGTGACCAGGTGCAGTGGCTCACGCTTGTAATCCCAGCACTTTGGGAGGCTCAGGCGGGCAGATGACAAGGTCAAGAGATCGAGACCATCCTGGACAACATGGTGAAACCTCGTCTCTGCTGAAAACAGAAAAATTAGCTGGGTGTGGTGGCGGGCACCTGTAGTCCCATGTACTCAGGAGGCTGAGGCAGGAGCATCTCTTGAACCTGGGAGGCGGAGGTTGCAGTGAACCAAGATCACGCTTGCACTCCAGCCTGGGCAACAGAGTGAGACTTTTGTCTCAAAAAATAAAAGTCAATAAGTGGCACCCAAATTAAATATTTCTTTAAAATTGAACAAAGGTGAATGAAAATGAAACCCTTAAAGTTTTCTTTAAGTGATAATGACTGCCACATATTCTAAAAGTTACTTTTATTTTTAAAAATGACAGTGTCTAAGGTATATTTCAAGAAACCAGCACTGGATACTATCTAAAGTGGTAAAAGCAGATTTCAATTAGGACCTATTGGAATAGGGAGAAAGCGACCTCATGAAACGAGGCCCACTTCTGAATACAGCGTAGACGGGGAATTTCTAGCCAGTAAACAGACTGTGTAGTCAGCTCATGGTTAATTACTAAGAGGAAACGACAGAGCTAAAGGGAGATTCTTTTTCTTTTTAAACAGTCTCTCTCTGTCACTGCTCACTGCAACCTCCCCTACCCAGGCTCAAGCAATTGTCTTGCCTCAGCCTCCCGAGTAGCTGGGATTACAGGCGCCCACCCACACACCCAGCTCATTTTT